ACTCTAAGATGGATCCAGGAAAGACCCATGAAGACTGAGAAGTGGGTCAGAGAGGAGGGAGGGCAAAGGATAGTCTGCAGTGTCCCATGCAGTAGAGGTCAAATAGAATAGGACATACAAACTTTACCATCCCAGAGGCTGGGTGAAATTTTGCTAACCCTCCAGAGTCCGTTGAATAGCAGAGAGTTTGGGAGCTGGTGAGAGCTTAAAATCTACTAAGATGGAACTGGGTTCAAGTCTTGGGCCACATCACTTGTTCAAAATACTAAAATTTTAACTATAAAATAGGGATTAATATAATGCTTCATAGGGTTGTCGTGAGGATGGAATGGCTTACTGCAGTTAGGTCACTTTGCATGGTGCTTGGCATGTGCTAGCACTCAGTACAAATCGTAGCTTTATTATTATCTACTATCCTTTGAGTGCTCTGGACCTCAGTTCCCTCACTTACAAAAATGGAACTGCCATTTCTCGCTTGCTGTTAACAAGACTCAAGGAATAAATGAGATGATTGAACTGTATTGGCACTTAAAGCTAAAGGCAAATGTTCCTGAAAAGATTAAACATGACTCACCAGGAATTCTAGGGATATTCCCAAGAGAATGGAGACATGTCCACACAAAAAGCTGTCCACAAATGTCCACAGCATTTGTTCATATTCACAGCATAAATGTTAATATCCACTAATGCCAAAAAAAATGGAAATAACTCACCATACAATGGAATATTATTCAGCAGTAAACAGGAATGAAGTACTGATTCATGGTACAACATGGATCAACCTTGGAAATATGATGCTCAGTGAAAGAAGCCAGTCACACTTACATATGATTCCATCTATATGAAATGTTCAAAATAGGCAGATCCATAGAGGCAGAAAGATTAGTTGTTGCCTAGGACTGGAGGAAACTGGCGGAAGTACGGGGCAACTGCTAATGGGTGAAGATTTTTCTTTTTGGGTGATTAAAATGTTCTAAAATTGATTGTCATGATGATTTCACAACTCTGTCAATAGACTAAAAGCCTTGAATTATATACTTAAATGGATGAATGTAAATTATATCTTAATAAAGCAGTTACAAAAAAATAGAGACTATACCCAAAGCAACTTGTGTCGGAAGAATTTAGACACGTAATGAAACAGCAGAGTGAAGGCAAGCATCTCTGTGCAGAGATGTACTGATCTTGTCTATGTTATTTGCTATGGGAACTTCATGGGTGTATCTGAGACCAAGAGCCCACAATTGTCCCAGAAGGTGTTGGGAGGTATTATTGGCAGTGTTGCAGTGCAGCTGCTTGTCTCATCTTTTCCTGGGAAATGTTTGCTTTCTGCAGATACTTCCTCTCCATGTGAACACACACACTCAGCTCCTTCCATATCACCTGCTTCCTCCCCAGCCTCCAAGATTCACACTTAAACTTACAGAACGTAATTTGAACCAGCTACATTTCAAGGGCTCAGTAGTCACATTTGGCTCATGGCTGCCACATTGGACAGTGCAGATATAGAACATTTTTTCAATTGCTCATTCAACTAAGCAAGATCTTGTTCTAGGCTTGGAAATATACAGAATGGAATAAAGCCCAATCTTTGTTCCCAAAATGCACACAGGCCAGCTAGGGAGACTCCACACTTGTACTGCAAAGCCAGCCACCCTTTATTTCTAATACAGATTTTACGGTAACTGGGGCAACTAGAGCACCTTAGGCCCAGTACGCCTACAGTGACAGGTTCTTTTGCACCTGGTGGCCCCTGCCAGGTCTTTGTCTTGTTGCTGGATGAACATCTGTTGGCCTTCAATAGAGCCAGCCCATGGGTGTTCCTGAGAACTGTTTGCCTCCCAGGTTGTGCAGAAAACAGAAAACAGCCCAAAAGTAGGGAGTTTTCTCCTCTATCCTCTCTACAACCAGTGCCATCTGCTGGAGAAACAGCGGCACAGGGGACGTGGCTGATTCTCTGTCTTCCCGACTTGGAGTCTGCATTACAAGGTGTGTGCGTGTGTGTGTGTGTGTGTGTGTGTGTGTGTGTGTGTGTGTGTGATGTTCATCCCTCTAGTTTAGTTCTCTTAGACCAGAGTTAAAATTAGGCCTGATTCCTATATCAAGACCCATAAGGAATAGAGCACATATCTTAAATATTGAGTTTGATGCATTTTCACGAACCTCACTTGTTAGTGCAGCCAACACCAGGTCAAGACACAGAGTCTGACCATCCCCCCAGCATCTTCCTCTGTGCCCCTCTTCCACTCACTGCCCCTCCCCCCATAAGGAGTCACTAGCCCAACTCCTAAGAATAGATTCTTTTTGCCTGTTTTTCTATCTTCTAGTACAAATCGAAGCCAGTTTCTATAATGTAACATTTCAGGTGACTAAAGGGATTCTGTCTATTGGAGCAGAGCTGGAGGATCAGGAGGGGTACCTCTCTCTTCCCACAGTTCTCTTCCTCCTTAGCCCCTTCTACCATCAACCTTCCCCCATCAAGCTGATTCATCACCAGCTTGAGAGCCTCAAACAAAATCATGTGACCATTTTGGGAGCTGCAGTTAACATCCCCAAGCACTTATTTTGTGTGCCAGTTTGAGCACTTTAAACACACACACACCCCCTGCTAGGAGCCTTTGTACATTTACCTGAAACTGAGTGGAAGTGTAACATACTCAGAATTGGAAAGCCGCCAGCTGACAGACCCCAGCTCTTGTGATCCTAGACTGATAGTCTCCTCAGCACCCAAGTTGCTCTGTAGAGCCAGTGTGAGACAACATACACGAGGTGAGAGAGGAAGCTGTCATGCTCAGGATGTTCTTTGTAAAAATCCATCTTTATACCCAGCACAAGACAAGAAGGGAGCCTGCCACTCCTGCAGAATCCACATCGTTGGGTCGTCGATTTGTTTGAAACATCATTGCAGATTCACAGACCTTTGATACAGAAGACCATTCTTACCAGAAGCACACAGCATGGCACGTTGTCACAAAATGAACACCCGGTGTGCCCACTCCCAGCAACTCTGCCTCATGCTCCCTTCTAAGTATGAGGTCACCCCAGGGTCACCACGCTTTTGACTTCTAACAGCAAAGGTTAGTTTTCCTGTTTTTGCCCTTTATAGAAGTGTGTTCATGCGGGATGAGTTCTTTTGTCTATGGCTTCTTTTGCTCAGTTTTGTATCTATGAAAGTAATCCATATTGTTGCACATAGTCATCATACTCATTCTCACTGAGGTATGAAAATCCATTATGTGAATATACCATAGTTTTTTTTGCTGTTCATGGGCATCTGGGTAATCCCCAGATGGGAATTTTTGGCTATTACAATATTGCTTTCACAGACATTCTAGTGCATGGTATAGTATATTTCTGTTGGGTGCCCATTGAGGGGCGGAATGGCTGGGTCATAGTGTGTGCATGTGTTCAGCTGCCACGTTTCCCC